TATACAATGCAAAGACTTTTCCGGTTACTCGATTAAAACATGTAAATATCTTTGATTGTAAAGTTCCGTAGTTAATACACCTATAACTGTTACTGCGTTATGTATCGAATTACCAGAATCTCGTATCAATCTGATCGAACGTTCTATGTCTCCTTTAAGTTCTATATATTGCTTGTTCAACAAAAGCCTTTCCAAGCTCTGCATGGCTTTGATCGCCTCAGCGCTAGGTCGAATATCCATTGAATCTGGATCGGTCGATCTCACAGGTGCCACTCCAGGTGATTGAGGGGTGTACCTCACTAATTGTTGCTCAGATTTTGATTCAGGTAATTGTGCCAAACAATATACGCCTATTGCACGGCTCAAAAACTTGCACCTAAACAAATTGTGAAATGTACATTTTCCATTGTACGCAATAAAGTATATTCATCATTTATACTATAAAGTAAAATATTTTATAATTAGTATTTAATTTACCTAATAGACAGTTGAGATCCTTTTTTAAAACCAATAGCCCCTAATATACCCCAAGTTTGTCCTCCATCGTCAGCTATCGTTAACAATATACGTGCTAAACCTTTAAGAGCTTTAACAGCAGTAACAGTATTTTCATTATATTTACATTGCCTATACACTAATTCGCACGTTTTAGCCCATAACAGGGGGAGCTTCTCTTCATTGATATCCCTAAATGATACGCTTTTGGTTAAATACAGTTATACCAGAATATAAATTTATACAATTTACCACTTACATTGGTCTTATAGCAGAAATCCAATCGACTAGATTTATAAGAAATTCTCCTTCTTCTTTTATGTCTTGGCATAATGGTAGTCGTTTAAGTAAAACTGAATACAGGGTAAGAATTCTTCCTTCAGAAACTAATATTGTTTCCAATGGTGGTTGTCGTGATACTGTTGGTTGCAAAATAGTTAAAACTGAAGCCCATGTTGACTGCATTTCTTCAGATGCTATAATATATATCAAATAGTAACAATGAATAATTTAATTAACGTTATGAATTTGGTACGTTATTTGAATTCTAAGCATTAAGTAAATTTTAATCTTACGTACCATTAAATCTAAAATACGCTTCCAACGCAGCTTCCATTAGTTCTCCAAGTATGGATGATGAAGTAATTGCTGTGTTTATAATTTTAAGTACAGCTATGAGGATTGGATTTGTAGCTGTTCTTTTTAACAACCATGAGGTCCAACTGTTACGAAGATATTCCATTAAAAGACCACTCTGATTCATATTATGAAATAACTCGGTTATTAACAAACACGCTTCTGCAATTTGCTGGGACTCTGAGACAGCTGAAAAGTGATGTCGTTTTTATTAACAGCTTAAATATAGAAAATAATTTGTAAAGTATAGTAATGCCCGGTTAGAAGTTTAGACTGTACAACATTGTATACTCACTATTCATGATAACAGCTTCCATGTCATCTAACATTTTTATCAATGTATTAGTAACTAATTTTGAATTTGCAGATAATAAAGATTTGTGTCTAGTTGTACAATTAATTAATAGTTTTATTGATGCACGTACATACATTTGTTTCTTTTTTAGAGTAGTTGCATGAAAATGTGTTAGGAAGGGACTATATCCTGCTGACACCTTCAACAGACTATTAGTTTTAAGTTTAATTAAATGAAGTAAATAGTTTCTATAACATGTTTACCTTTTAAATTATCAAGCGATACTTACTTATTCACAGCAATATCTATAGGATGACATTGGTCATTGTCACCGGTGAGAATAACTCTTGGATCACAACTCATAACATGCCAATTAATTACTTGATCGTACGCAGTTGCATCCAATAAATGCCACGAAAATTTTTCAGTTTCAGCAATTAATTGAACTGCTCTGTCATTCTAAAATATCAAATACTTAGAAGTTTTAGTTTTGAATTTAAACTTTATAAGCAAAAGAAATATATTAAATTTTAACATTTCTTTCAAGCAGAAATTTCTTTTTTAATTCCCTTAACTTGTATAAATATTCAATTTACCTGTCTAACATTCGGTTCCGTGGATAACTTCACAATTAAATTTAACAAACAAATGTGGATTCTTGTCGCAATTGCCAACGGTTGTGTTGCTACAAATTCGTTCATCCAAATTGACCAATTTACACAAGTGAACACACTTCCAAGGAATAAATGACTCTCTGGTAAATATTGGTCAATAACTTTGATCATTAGTTCTATGTCACTTACTCCTGGATAAAAATGGTCCCACGGCAATGATAAAAAGTTCCCATGAATGACATTTAAAATGTGGTTTTTAACCGAACAGTGTGCAAAATTAGTAACATAGAACTGCCAGATGAAACTTAAAATTTTGCTAGATGTTGGTAGTGTATCAATAATGAAGCGGACGCATTCAACAAACATTGCCACAATTTTGTTAGCGTAAGGGCCATCTGTGATAATCCATGGTAACAAAACCGATCTGTCATCTGTAAGTTGTTGAATCCATGCGGCCGTTGGTTCTTTTAAATTACGTGTCCAGTATGGTGTAATCCAAGGTGAATACATGTCACTTAACACAGGCCATATTTTCTCACATACTGTAAATAATATAATAACGTTGATACACTTATACAATGTGTATATATTAGGTCGTGTAATATGAAACGGATTTTTACCAATTAATTTACCAAAAATTTGATAAACACTTACATTGAACTCCTAGAGAACCTCTATCGGACTGAAGAGTAAGCACAACAAGAGCATGACCTACCATACCAAGAAATACAGTTAACGGTTCGTTGTAGATTCTGTATTTTGGATATAATCCATAAAGACCATACTGTAAACGCTCTTGCATGAAATGTCTACTTAATAATATAGCTGTATCGAATATCTGCAATGAAGTAGTTAAATTGACTTCTTGTTTGCCAACGAATTATAATGATGTTTAAAGAATAAATTATACTGTAGCAACAATTATATAAATATACCTCTTGTCTAGAAAGAAGTCTTTGTTCAGTGGCATAGTGACGAATTTCATCTCTAATTTTAGACGATTGAATGGAAAATGAATTTTTTGGTTTGCTACTGAGTGTTCCTAATAAATCTCGCCAAACATCTAGTGACAAATTTTGACTTTCGCTGCATTTTAATATAACGCTTAAAACTTCGCCATAATGCTCAGGAAATTCATGTAATAAAACGAGTCGTAAATGATTTCTAAATAGCTGTAAGAAGTATGTATTGTTAGAATCAATGAAACAAATAAATAATATTGAAAATCAGTACATATAATGAAATTTTATATAAATACCTCGTGTAATATCAATTTCTCTTCTTCAGGATTCAGACCCATATTACAAAGAGCTCTGCATACCAGATCTATGAATGTCGATCGTTCACTTAATTTTGGACGTCTGTAATTTAACCAGCTTCCAATGTCAAACTAAAATGAGAATGAGAATATTTAATATACATAAAAGTATAAATTACTGCAATAAAAGTTATTGAAATTATACACAGCATACTTTTGATAATAATACAAAACATAGATCAACATTTTTTCCAGTTGATAATTCAACAACTGTCTGATACATTTGTAAAAATTTGGATGCGCCACCAGCAACAGGTGTAAAATATGGTCCAAGTAAACCACCAAGGTTCGGTCTATGCATTATAGTATTTAATAACTGTGGGCCTTGACTTTCTTCTCCACTGATAAATAACTTTTCAAATATTTATATTAATAATATATCAAATAAGATTATTCATATAGATTAGATAAGCAGACCTACTTGTCCCAGTCTTTCTATACAAGTTGTAATAAGCTGTTTTGTTGGAGGACACAATGCTGCTTCTTCCGTGTAACATTCTATGAGATAATAAAACAATTTAACTCCGCTTTCTTGAATTTTGTACAACATCGTCGTGTTTTCACTAGTTCGACTTAAAGTTACTTCATGTTCTAGCATTCTACAAAACAATAAAAAAAGATTGACAAAAGATAATTCAAGGTTAAATTCCGAATGTCTGGAATATGGAATTTATAATGCATTATTAAATTCCATAATGCATTTATGAAATATAATTTTAAAGAAATATTTATCATACGTACGCAATTAAATGATCTACAAATACACATCCTTGAGTAACTTTACTAGGTGGTGGCTGACTAGCCTTTATCAACAAATTTTCATGTTCTGCTCTGTTCTGAGTTATTACGTTATCAATACCATCGTTGACATGAGCTTCGGATACCTAAATATATTAATAACTTAGATAATATTAGAGATACGAGGCAATAAAATGAACACCTTAGGCTTCTTTGAAACTAAAAACATTATTCTTAGTACCTTAACTCTAATTACTGCTGGACCAGCACAATGGACGGTAGGCGGTGTTCCTGATCTAGATCGTTTTTGATTCGTAGGTACTGAATCACATACTGCGTGCAGTGTTATTTGGTTTTCAATCTCTTGATAAAGCGTAGGCACTAATTCTAAAAAACTGCAATCTACAGCTGTGTGTTCGGAAATCAATAAGTTGTATGTCTGAGCATAATCTGATATGGTTTTAAGGTAAGGCTTGACGAAATCGATAGTTGAATTTGAATTATACAAAATCTCTATAGGTATAGAATTCAGAACTTTTTTAATTCGACTTATAGACGGCGGTGGAACAGGCTGTTCATACGCAGTGAATCTTTTGAAAATTCTTTGCAACGGATCAGCTATTTCTAAGAATGCAATTGTTGATGCATTTATTCTGTTTTGAAATTGATTCTCTTGATCTCTATGACATAAGTATTCCCATTCGTGGACCGCCTTTATTTGATTTTGTTCGACCGTCCAGTAATCAACATATTCTAACCATGGTGCCTATTTAAAAAGATTATAAAAAGTGTTGGACTTCTATTTGTTTGTCAGTTATTTACAATAAAGAAATTGGAACTGTTTAACTCACCCAATCCTCTTGTACAAGTAAAATTAATTTCTGTGCCATATACTGAGGAGGCAAAGCTGATAGGTAAAAGCCTGGCTCTTGTATTCGTGGTTCCTCAAGCCATAAACTTAATGTTTTGTAAAATCTGTAAAAATACGATTACAGTGTTTTTCTTATAATCTTCTTATGTATATTATATGTGATCATTATGTACTTTGCTGCATTAAAATAAAATGTTCGTCTTTCATCGGTGATTGGTTTCCCATCCTCTAAATCTTTTTCCCCTTTTAATTGGAAATACGTAGTAGTGTCGTGTAATCGTTTTTTTATTTTTTTCAAATAACTCAGATTGATCATGCCTTCGAAAAATTTTTCACCAATTCCTCCGTGATCGATAACTCTGCAAAGATAATATATTATTACTTGTACACGTGAAGGTCTGTGTCTTGTTTTTCATTAAAACCAAACCTTGTTGTCGTGGGAACTCTTGCAAGGAACAAAGCAAAAAAATTTTGCCATAGAAGAGGAAGCATTGGATGATCCATGGGAGTATCTAATGCTTGTTGAGACCAACGGTATATAAATAATCCATTAGCTCCAAATGGTTGCATTTTTACTGTCGCACAAGCTTTCTGAAAGTAAAGTGTTATGTATAATAAAAATTTGATGGCAATATACTAATAATACATACCTTGATAGCTGCATCCAATGATATTTTACTTTGCGTGGATAATTCCCGTAAAATTTCATGCCACAGACCAGTTTTAATTTCTCTATTGTATTGTTCAACTGACAACACTTGATAAGCAACCCAAACCGATTGTACAGAACCTCCTAACAGACTTACTGAATTTGAAGAACCGGTTGCCCAGTTTAAGAATGATCCCAATGATCCCACCACGTTTCGAGTGGATGTTGTAGTCTGCAAATAATCGATGAAATTAATATACTCTTATGTACTAGTTAAATTTATTCGATGCAATTAGAATATAAATATTAAACGAGTAAGTAAAGAACTGTAAATATTTATACAAAATTCATTTAAGTCGATCTTACAGAAAAAAGACTTTGAAACATATTTTCCACTGTCGTTTTTGCTTCAACATAGAAAAATGCAACGCTAATCACAGTGTCCATCAAGTACATTACACTTTGATCTTTATTCCAATCTGGTACGAGTACAAGTACATTTAACCACAAATGTACGAAATTCTTTGGAGTTTGTAGAGAATATCTGTAACAATAAATAGATAATCATACTATGAAATTAATTATTTAAAAAGATTGTAATCATTTACCTTTTATAGTTACGTAAATGTGAATGTATCATATTAGAAAATTGTTTTAGTATTGTTCCAGGAAACTCTGCGGTTATGAAACTTTTTGCCACGTTCATGTAAGTTCTATCAGCCGCGATTAAAGAAATGATCAGATTAATAAATTTTTCATTTTTTAGCAGTGAATCGACACACTCCAAGAACAATGGTACAATATGATGTAAACATATAAGTACTTGTTCATATTTATAATGAGACTGTAATATCTGTAATTGACTGAAACCCTTTAAACATATCAAGGGCACAGAGTGACCCCATAATGTCATGACTGTTGCTACATAGCATGCGATCGGTTGTTTGTCAAGAGTACCAGTTACTAAAATTTCCAAATATGAGTCAGAATCCATATTAGGCAGATGTGCAAATGCTTCTTGAATATTCATTAATGTGTGTTGACAGATTGTCTCAGTCTGATCCAGTTGATGTAATCTAAGTTTAGTAACCATTTCCCATGCCCACAGCGAGAAAACCTGTTCTGCACTTTGTGGCCTTATTATCGATGACACCTGCAAATGCAAGTTCAATGCAGAAAGGCTGTTAAAAATTACTTTATAAATAATAGAACGCTGATATACAACATTTAAATATCTATACCTGTTTAACACCTTCTGCCAATAAAGATGAACTTTCAACAGGAGAATCACGTATATATTTCATCGCGAGTTCAACAATTAACAATGCTATGCGTCTATGTAAATCAATCGAAAGATGTAAATCACCATTTCTATAAGAAATAGACCAATGAAATTTTTATCACGTTAAAGATGTATAAGAATTGACTTAAGCCATAATCTGTATGTATAAGTGTTTAAAGCAATAGGAACATAAATAAATGAAAAATGGTGTTCTTACTCGTTGAAACCCCAATTCAAATGAGAAAGGATTAAACGAGCTAAATGATTCTCAGTTGATGTTAAGGGATGTTCGTGTAACCATTTCGAGAGAATTGTTATGTCTTGTTCCTGTGGAATCCACTTATCCTGTTTCAGTTCGGTGAATAGATATAAACTTAACTACAAATATTAAGACTGAAGTTAATTACAAATTCATTACTCAATGAAAAATTTTTAAAAATATGTTGTTACCTTCCCGACAGATTCAAAGTTATCTTTTAATTTGTGCAAAATATCCGATAGAAGTGACGGGTATTTGTTCGTCAAATTTGATAACAGAGATCGTGCATCTTTTAAACATGAATCTTGCGTTTTTCCACTAAGAAATCCAATCTGTAAGTTACAATCATTGTTAAATAATGAAAACTTTTCAATAACATAATTATTGATACATACTTGAAATAAATCTAGCGTTGTTGCTTTTACAAAGTCATAGTCTTTGTTAATTCTTGCCATAGCCATATTAGCAAAAGTAGTTAGAAGAAAATATGATTCATCTCCTGGCAGATTGCATAACTTTTCTTCAAATTGCTTGCGAAGTTGTGGGCAATTTAATTTATCTTCCCAGTCTGTAGGTATATAGTAATAAATTTAATTCATATGTCAATTGTTTCTTTAGTACAGAATTGTACTTACTTTGTAGATCTACATCGACCATATGGGCATCAGTTTGTGAAGAATCAGTATGCAGTATATAAAATATTTGCCACAAAGTATTAGAGGATATTAAGTGATATGGGACAGTTGCTAAATATTGCCATGCACCCAAACGACGTGAAGAAAATATGCAAAGTACTGCTCTTAAAAAGAAATAATCAAATTCTAATTGTAGCTTTAGCAATGTAGATTTATCGATATGCTGTAAAAATAATTTTTTGTAACTATATTGAAACATTATTCACCATAAAAATTTGGAATTACCTGATTCTTATCGAATTCCTCCCATTGATCGCTAGCATACTGTACAATATCTCTAATTAGTGCACAGAGTCGTTTAGCTAATTGTCTATATCTCGGAGAATCATACGTTTTTAAACCTTGTTTCAGGATTTTAACAGTGATTGTAAAAAATGCAAATAGGCGTAGTATGTGATGGTGAGTAATCAAGTTTTTGTTCTGGTGGTATCTTTCATTCTGACACTGTATGTACAACACATATTTAAATACTTTGTCAAAAGGAATTTGATTGAGCAAAGAAATAAGATCATTTTCGAATAAACTTGTGCCAGAATTAGTTATATCCTCGTCTTCTTCTCCTTCTTGATCTAATATTACCCAAACTGTATCTCCAGGACTACACGCTGTATCATGTAGTGATGTCTGCACCTAATCAAAACATTAGCGGTTATTGCACTTATACAAAAATTTCATAGTGTACTTAAATCTTCTGAATACCTGTTCAAGAAATTTATCCCTTTCCTTTATTGGTAGCAGAATAACAGCCAATGTAGCTATTATGTGATCTAAATATGGATTATTTAATGGAGATATATTTGATTGACCAAATTCTTGTGGTGTTGGCATTTGTATATAACTGCTTGCCCAATTCATTACTCCACCAGGACACCTCAAGATGTGATTTAATAAAAATAAATGATCTTGCCAGTTTGCTACTCTCAAAAAAATTGCTACTAGTTTTGTTAGCCATTCTCTGGTGTCTGTGACAAACTTTCCATCCTTTAATAATTTTCTTTGAAAGTAAAACAATATAGTTATGCACATCCTTATTTCCATTAATTGTGGCATTAATTGTGAAGGTGTTTGTTCTGCTGCTAGGCTGATGGGTGCGTTTTGAGGAAGATTTGTAAACTCCTTGCAAGAGGCACACACGCTTTGAATATAATGTTCTATTTGTAATTTTAATAATTCTGCTTCATAACAGTACAGTGCTTGGGTATTATGCAACATTTCTTTTATTGTTGATAAATTTCGGGATAGAGACAGTAATGCTTGTTTGTTAAAGTGTGCAGTGTTATATTCATGTGTAGCACTAACAGGATTTCCATCTTGACATTCACCTGATTCTGTAATACAAGCTTTGTCTATACACCATAATCGTTTTTGAGTTTCCCTACAAGTTTTCTTCAATGTTTCCAATTCGTGTGAGTTGATAATTAAATGATTTCTTATACGAAGATATTTCATTAGAAACTCATGTAATTTATGTTGTTGTCTAACTGTATTACTTCTGAGTTGAGTTTCTATAAATTCTGAAATAAACATATCGATCAATCCTAATTCCTGGTTATCGTATAATGATGCTAACTGGCTTGCTGTAAATGGTTTAACTTCCTTCAAAGTGATACATGCACCATCCACAATATCTGTTGATGATTCTGTCTTCTCTTCTGTTTTCTTGTCACATTCAACATTTTTTAAATTCGATGTATTCGGTAGAGAATTTGATAAATTGGATGTTGAGGCTTCATTATTATCCACTTGAGAGTCAGATGTACTTTCTAACTTCACTGTATACATCGATGTCTTAACTTCTTCCACCTCTTCATCTGCATTATCTTCCAATGGTGCTGAAGCATTAATTTCATCCTAAAATTTGTATTAAAATATACAATAGAATTATTTATAATAAAAAAGTAAAATAACTGGGAACAATTGCATGTTTCCAATAGTACATTGTCATATAAAATTATGATAAAATGAAGCTTTCAATTAATAAAAATATAGATTATTAAAAATTGATTACATGGTGTTTCAAGATATAAGTATATAGCGTTTAAATGTGTAAAGCATGAAAAAATAAATACCTCACTAATGACTACTTGTAAATTACATTCTGCATTCTGCAAAGCATTTTCTTGGTCATATATTTCTGAGTCAATTGCGGCAAAGTGTAATTCACTTTCCATATTCTCAATGCCTTCACCCTTGGGATAATGTGTAGGAGATTCTCCAAGCAAGCATACGAATTCATCCAACGTTGGAGCCTCTGGTATGTCATGGTCTATACTTAATTGTTTAATTTCCTTTCTCTTCTTCTAAAAGTACACACACAGAAATATACATACAAATGTTTTGCTGAGATACAAGAAAATTTTCAATAGAAATAATAGACTCTCGAGTATTATATAGTTTAAAGCAACCAGACGTATATCTGATAAAGTGAACATAGAAAAATCAACAAAGGAAATAATTTTTACCTCTCGCTTCACTAATTCCATATTTGATAAATGTAGGTGCACAGATACATATGAATGTTAAATCTGTTATGTCAAGTGTAAATGAAAACTGGAAAAGCATAAAAAGACAATGTTTATCATGAAACAAGAAATTTTTGTAGCGTCATTCTGTCTATTGACATTTTAGGTTCTCTGAAATTTATTGCGTTTCCTTAATAATTTATCACGTGACAGAAATGATTAACATTTAATATCTATCGATTAACATATCGTCCAACAGTACAATGTTGTTTGTCTGCCCTGCTACCAGTTAATCAACTAATACGTCTTTAGTAAAAATCGTACGCTTTTATTGAATGTCAAATGATTGTTCCAAAGTAGCAAGTTGTCAGTTACCTACTTATCAAGCGAGTCTTTATTACGTGGTCATAAACCACAGGCAAAGTGTAACAATAGACCCACCACCTTATATACCTTCGTGGCTCAATTTGACTGCCTTATCGACTTAGAAATACTTTTAATGCATTTTCAATACTCTAATTTTTCTCATTACCACTTTTGTGTCACTCGCAACGTTATCAATAGAGTATTTCGTTTATGCTTCTAAATCCACTTCAGTATCTCATCGATTAACAAATAATGGTAAATAAACAAGACACTGGTTTCCTATCAACTTTTCATCTAAATATTAAATTTGTATATGTATATGGAAATAATTTTTTTTATAGATCTCTAATCAAGATATATATAAGAGAAGGAACATAAAGTATGTGACTTCTTATTTTTTGCTCTAAAAACTTATCTGTTCTGATTACTAAAACTGTTCACTGTTCCAATATTACAGTCATTCTACAGTTTCACTGAACTTAAAAAATTATATGAAATATGTCGAAGTCGAGTTTAATGAATTATCAGAATAAATGGATATCTCAGCTGCTCTTGCATTTTGACCAAAAATTATAGAATCTAAAAGAACACGGTAAAAATAATTCTGAAGGAAATCACATACGGTTTTAAATATGTTCAATCATATATTTCCATTTTGCTATAATGGCAACAGACTATTCTGTTGCTGTTTTGCGAACTAAGTTATCGCGGTAAATTTAACACGTTGAATATCGAACGATTTCGTACAGCAAAATATAAATGATGGACGAAATATGATATTAAATCATTTGATTGAATTGCATTATTATTGTTATTGCATCATCCAGCTGAATGTCACCGCATCAGGTAACATTATGTATAACAGAAATATTTTCAAACAATAATCGTTTTATCGAATGAACTATAGCAATTCGATTTTGTTGGGGGTCACCGGTGACCCTCATGACATTTAACGTGTTAATTATTTGATCAGCAATACATTCTATGAAGCACTTTTTAGTTGAAATTACCAAGAAAAATATTAGAAAAGAGGTTTTAAAAGAAAAATCATTGCGCACCCATATGCCCACCACAGATCATCATCCCTTGTGGGGATCGAACCCACGACCTTTGGATTAGAAGTCCAACGCGCTATCCTCTGCGCCAAAGGGACTTGGCGTCGTTTCTCGTCCAGACAATTTAGGACAGATAACACACCTACAAAATAATATAAATATTTAGCAAAATTTAGCAATGTTGATTTATCGATACGTTGAAAAAAAATTGATATTGACGTTAGTCATTCAGAGAATGTGATTACAATGTGATAGGGAAAAACCGAAATTGACGACATTCGCTTAAACTGTGTCTCAAAAAGCTAATTACAGGCTTTGCTTGAAAGAGTAGTTAACATTCTTTTCTTCGTGATTATTTATTCAATACACTCATTAATGCACTAATTAGCTACATTCAATTTACGAATAAAACATTCATCTCATTCGTCGGAGACTCTTCGGCCAACGAATCATTGGTTTATACTACTGAAACATTCGTAAAAGAGTCCAACGAACAAAGAAAGTTAAAGTGCATAATAATTTCCAAAAATTAAGGCTACATAGAATGAAATTCATGACAATGTGGCGTATGAATTTCAATGTTACAGCATTCATGTAGTTCTTCATCGCAATGAGATCATTTGAAATCACGCGTTAACCCCTTGCTCCACAACGAATGAGACTCGCGGTGAAGATTTTCAACATGATTCAGCAAATATATATATATTACTCAGTTGATTCGAATTCAAAGTAAACATTGTTCCTCTGTAATCAATTATTATACTTAAAAGGAAATATAGGTGTAACATATGCTTAGAATTTTTCTCTTTTTCCAATACATTATTAATGACGAAGTAGCCGTATCGATCACAGTTGAGAAAGAAATCATAGGTGACTCCCAGTCACCACTTGATTCGATACAACAAAACTATGAAGTTGAATATTTAATATTTTAAATGAAACACACCTTTGCTGCTCAATTTATCTATGAATTATCGTTAAATTAGTTTCAAACGATATCGCCTATATCTCGTCAGAAAACGTTGAATATTTCCATTGAGAAATTTTCGAGTGGAAAGGGTTAAAGATTCCTCCATTGAAAAACGCGAAGATCGCGCGCGATTGTCAACGGAATTGCTCGGAAGTGAGCAAAAATTGATAAAAGCGTATCTCTCGATACCTAAAACGAAGACGAAACGAGAGCGACGAATCCGAATCGGCTTCGATAACATTTGTCCGCGGTGTTATTCCAGCGAAACGTGAAAATCAATGACATCCGCCTGCTCGTACGCGACAATTAATTTATTTATCGGATCCTTGGCGTTCGGGAAGCACGACGGGAGCGAGGAGGATCCTGTTTTCCAGCCGCGGCCGGAGCCGCGATGAATCCGGAGCATGTCTGCGCAGAGATAATCCTACACTCCTTCATATTTGCGTGAAAATTACCTATCATAATTAACTACGGTGGTAGGGCGGTATAATGGTAGTCGAGTCCCCGAGCCAATCAGAGGCGAGACGGAAATCAATGTAATTAGAGGAAGAGCCAACCGGGACTCGCCGGGGTAGACGCATGCGCCCGCCCCGGACTCGCGTCGGGCTATCTAATTCTCTTTGTGCGATTTCTATTGTCCATATTACAATTATTACGCACACCACGATCTCCTCTCGCGTCTGAGGCACAATCGTTTCCGCTGTTGCGACTCGCAATCTGTAAACACGCCTCGATGCCTCCTCGAACGTCTACTTATTCTTACATCGTCCGGATCTTCATCCCCCCAATCCCTTCAACGAAAATTCAGAACGGACGAGACAATCGGTTCCTCCAACAGATTTTTCTGCGCGAAATAGTCTGTTTGGAATTGATAAACTCGAAATTATTCGAGAAAAATGACCGTTCCAGCGGACATTCGAGCGGCACGGACGATATAGGAACAGCTTCGCGATCAATGGCCGGGTCGCTGTCTCGAAAACCATTCTCTTTGGCTTATGATGCTCGCAGGCACGCTGTTTCCAGTTGATATCGGAGATTTATTTGTCGCCGGCGAACAAAGTATCGATGGGTTAACGTGTTTGTCATTTGGGCAACCAGTTCGCGTCTTTGTTCGCCGGCCGCCATTGCGGAAACCGTTCTTATGTCGCAGCAGCTTTTAGGGTCTGATTCGAATTTCTTGCTGCGAAGTTATTGTTGAATCGTTGCTAATTGAGAACTTTGATTTACTAATTGATCGATTCATATTTCTTAAGAAATTTTGATCAGAATGACTGAAAATAATCTACTGTTGCGATTTTTCTAGGGATTACACGTTCATCGGATGCTCGGTAGTTGTAGTGTTAGAAGGGAAGTTAATTGGCTCGCCGTGAATAAACACGGACAGCGTTCCCTGAAATTTAAGGGTGCACGGCGCGATCGGAGAGGAGGATTTCAATTCCGCGAGAAAGCACGAAGGGATAATGATAAAAGGAAAATAAGTGGTGCACAATAAGAATTCGTGAAACCCCTCGAGGGTCGAACAATCGAGATCGACGTATGAGAAATGAATTCCGATGTAGATTGTTGAATGTGCGGTTGACCGTGAGTACTCAAGATATTGAAAGACTACTAGTTACACTCTTTGTTAGTCGTACGCTTAATACGGAAGACGTTGTTCCTCTTGCGAAGTACACATTGTTGCGAAGCAATCCGGAACGTTACAGATCAAACTGAAATTTCAAATCTTTCATCTTGGTTTAGTGAATTCAGGACGTAATCGGAGCTTTGTTAACACGTCCAGTGTTACACGGTAACTAAATTATCAATTTAAGAGAGGTACCAGGAAGCCTGAAAATAGTTAACCCTTCGAGAACGATTGGCTTATTGTAATAATGAATGAATCGATGAAAAAGAGAAATCATAGCGAATCAGTTCAAATGAAACGATTTGTAGTTTTCATTGAAACCGTTTATCAAAATAATTTAAAATAGATAGACGCTTAACACGTTTAGTGCCACGTGTACCACGTGTGGTTAATTTTTGTAACAATATTTTTAAGGGATACATGGTCAAGAATAGCTGTATACGTTACAAAGCACCGAAAACATTAAGAAACGATATGAAAATATATAAAGTTAAAAGAAACTTGAATATAACTAACAGTTCAAGCAAAATATGACCGAAATTTCCGTGGCATTCAACGTGTTAACATTCTATTAATTTCAATTAATTCTTTAGGATTGTTTGTATTGTCAGATTAACGTTTATTATTGTTACTTGTCATTCGAATTTTATCGATTCAGTTACCGAACGTTACAAAACAAGGGAATTTATTTTTCATTGAAAATAAGGGAGTTTAATGTGCAATAATTCTCGACGTACAAATGCAGTTATTAGGAACAAAAGTACAATACAATCGACTGTGCATCAAGCTAATTGTAATTGATTTCGGTGCAGAACTGTGGCGCTTGTCTTCGGCCATTTTGTACAGCACGCGGTAGGCTTAGATTTCCAACAACGTTGTAACGGCCATACTTGTTTCCTCATTTTGGAGAAGTTAATAAAAAGTAACATATAATTATTCTAGTTTCGAGTAGACATTAACCCTTTGCACTCGATAGGCGACTCATAGTCGCCATTTGGCTTGATACAGCAAAATTAGAAAGTTTGATGTATAATATTAAGCATTGCATGATGCATCAATATGTGGAATATTGAAATAAAATAACTATCTTCCTTAATTTATATATGTTTCCTCATTAATTCATTTCAAAGAGCATCGTCTGTATCTCATCGGAGAATATTGAACATTTCTAGTGAAAAACTTTCGGCGCCAGCTCACAATTACCATACTGTTCATTTAACGTGATTAACCATGAAACGTTAAAGTAGAACAGTTCCATCCCTTGACTTCTATATTATTTATATTAATGTTAGTTACAAAACCTATCATTGATATTTCATTAGAAAATGAAGAATATATCCAGCGAAATAATGTCCGAGCGCAAAGGGTTAATCAATGAGCATACGGGAACCGAATAAATACGATTGTATAATTTTTTATCCGGTAAATATCAATTGGCATTCGAGGGATTCGGGAAAGGACATTTCGAAGGAAATTTAAGCACGGATATTGGTAGCCTATTATCTTCGATTCACGTTATATTCTGCACAACGCGTGAATAGAAGCGCGAGTGCGCCATGTTAACAGTGCGAACAGAGCGCGTGATGATAAACCGGTCGAAAATTGGAGAATCACAGTAATGAATTGTATACGTGTACAATAGAGCCTCGATTATTGAAAATAATTAGTATCCCGGGAATCGGATGATCGGCGGGTAGACCTTTCAATGAAACTTTAAACTGATCATTGAAATAGTGAATCACGTTATATCGTGAAGTGTGACTTCTGAATGAAACGATATACGTTCGAAATATAGGGAAATATACAGTCTACTTACTATTATATAGTTTATTCCATTTATCTGCGAACGAAGACAAATCAGAATACATCCAGCACAGGATTCTTTGACAAGAATCGAAATCTACATTGCAAATTGCATGGAATATTCTCAAAATACACAAAAGAAGATTCCCTTAAACCATCTTCTGGTTTACAAGAATTTTACCTCTACGGACGAATGTCGACATTTCGGTGAGATGAGATGTTCATATTTGAAAGACTAAGTTGCGAACAAATGATTGAATTACTCGAACATCGAGAGATCAGCAGGTAGTTTCCTGTTTTCCTATTGATTAAGCAATTAATATGTAATTTAGCTTCATCTGTTGAAGCTTTTGTGCATTTCAAAGAATCCGCAAAGGGCTAATAATATAAAGCCTCTGAAAAAATGAAAGGAAAACCATAAGTAAATTAACCCTTTGCACTGGAGAGGCGCCTTTCAGTCGCCATTTGATTTGACCGAACGAAATGACAAAATTTCAGATTCAATATAAATTTTCTATAATGTATCACTACACGGAACATCAAAATGAAATAGTTCTGTTACACAAGGTATTTCCTTCCCAAGTGCAAAGAAATTAAATGAACTCCAGAAACATCAATCCGTTACCGAAAACTCCGTCTGCTCCGCGTCCAACGAGAAACCAAAGGAATCACAAACATTCCCAAGCCACCCCCAAAGAAACGTCCGTCTCGTTTGCACAAAAGAAAGAAGCCCCTGAATATCCGTAGTCCGCAACGCATTATCTCGCACTACCTCGAATCGGCCGCGATCCAGCTCGCGAGTGTCCAGTGCTGATTTAACGGTGAATTTGCGGCGGACAATGGGCGATTAAAAAACGTCCCTTCCGCTGGTGGTAAACGATCGCAGGTGCCCTTTCACAGAGAGGCGTTACAACGGTGACAACGGAATCATCAGAAATCGAAGGGATGGGGGTGGTATCCCGGCCTCCTAGTGGGGAACATCCGGCCGGGGGTAGGGAGCACGGCTGGCCACTGTGCATCCCTCCCCTCGGCTTCCATATCAGCCATAAGGAGAGAGAGCGGAGGCTCCGGCAAACCGACTGGGATACGTGTGTTGCCTCCTATCCCGGCCCATTCCGTTCTCCATCCCCGAGCGATCTTCCGCGTCGTTTTTCCTTTCCGCCAGTGGTTTCCCGCTGATTCGCGGCCTCGAGTCCTCGCCGATCCCCTAAATGCTCGCGCGGACGCGGCCGCGCCGTCGAAATTCACGGGACATCGGACGCACCGTTCGAGAAAAATGTTCGCCGCGACGCCGACCTGCCGCCCGAGAATCGCCTGAGACTCCTCCGAGGGTGGAATCATGTTCGAGGCGGCCCGACCCGGTGCTCGGGGGAAGTTTGTGCGATGACGGAGGCAAATTCGAGACACGATAGAAGGCGGATCGAAGGATTCCGTTGCTCGACTCGCGTTTCCGCGGCTCCTTCAGGAGATTCCGCTGTTTTTCGCGGCTTCCCGTTCTTCTTGGGGCAACGAGACGGCGCGACCTGCTTCCCGGTTAAATGGCGAAAACGGAGGGCCCGTCGTCGCCGCGACGGTTCTTCGCCAGAATCTATGGGCATCTCGAGGCGGACAGGATCGAGGGCAACGACGACGACCGCGAGAAATCGAGCACCGACTCGTCGCCGGACACCGATCCCTGCGTCGGCACCAACGCGGAGGTTTCTAGTTCGCCGGGCAACGAAGTAACGCAGGTAAGATTTCTTCGTTGTTTCGTGGCTGGTTGTGCGATGATTGTTTGATGGAGCTGGTGGATCAGTCGATTAGAGGGACTTTGGAGGGATTGGTTTGCAAGTGGGCTAATTATGAAGCGTTTTTGTGGAATTTTTGAGTGGATTTGTGGGGTTGCGTGGATGTAGGACTGGGAGAGCCTTCGAATTGTTTTTTAAGTTGATTGTTGCGAGTAGTAATGTTAGATTGACTGTGAATTTGTTGGACTATGAATATTGAGAGCGTACATTTTTTTGTAGTATAGACGCGTTTAGTTTCTTGAATGAGTGAAACGGTGAAAGATCGTTTGAGTTTCGTTATTATGTTCAATGCTAGTCAATGATTCCAATCGTTGATAGATTGCTCTAATTTTATGATAGTACTATCTAGAGAAGCTTGGCAATTCGAAGATTCTCATAGAAAGGAAACCCTGTGAAACATAAATCTGTTTATAATACGTTAATAGATAGATTAAATACATTTTATTGTTATATTAACAATACATTCCTCGCTTACAAGTATTTTAATCCTACAATGTCTCAGCATAATACGACAGTTTCGCATCAAATTGGATACTTACTCGATAGTATCCATCGCAATTTTACTCGAACAAACTCTAACTGCTAAATAAACACCTACCAAAGCTCCCATGCAAACAGTTTTCTTAATTAAGTAAAAACTGAAAAATCAAGTTCGTTGCGATTGCTCTACTACCTTTCTTACATCTCGCACATCCAAAGAAATTTGATTCATTCGATAAGTCACCAAGGAAATGAACGTTGAAGTTAAGTAAAAAATGTCACTCAAACCCGAGCGACGTGTCAATCAAATTGTCATTCTGATCGTCTATCGATGATACAAATAGAATTGTGCTCGAAACGAATAGCGAAACGCAAAGTATCGACATCGTGATTAATTGCACAGGTGTCGGACTCGAAAGACGCGTTCTCAGGGCAAACGGAAGAACGGAACAGCAGCGGAGTGAACGTGCTGATCAGTAGCGAAAGGGAGAAGAATTCGACTTTAAGGTTGCCTTTCTTCCACGGGCTGCTTCCCAGAGTACCTAATCTGCCTTTGACGCACCTACACTTAACACAGATCACATGCCCGCCGACGCACTCGTCGAATCTCCACAATCTGCCGTACCATCAAGCGCCGGAGCATTATTTGCAAGGATTCTCAGCGTTCTGTGAGTATCACTTCCGTTTCAATTAGCGACACGAAACGCCTCGAACACCGAACAAAACAATCGAATCTCCGACAGAAATATTCAATCGTCTTGAACGGAAACCGAGGAAACTGGGAAGTCTTATCTGACACTTTAATTACGTTTCTTTCTGCCTGGTAAATTACTGAAATTTTTTTATATCGGAGTAGATTCAGTTCGGTCAAATTAACCCTCTGTAGATGAGGATTCTTTGAAATACAGAACTCTCAACAGATGAAGCTAAATCATGTATGAATTGCTTAAACAATGAAAAGATGTGCTGATCTACTTTGAGCAATTAAATCATTTGCGACTTAGTCGAAACCTGGAGATTTCATCTCGCCGAAATGTCGATACTCGTCGGCAAACGAAACAATAAACCGAAAGAAATAAATATATCTCGCAAATAAACATTGTTCCGATAGATAATATTCATCAACAATAAAGAGAAACTGTTCGGTCACCTGCAATTATCATTTATTATCTAAAGTATTTTAAAAGGATGATGGTCCTATGAATTTCCTTCATTTCATTTGTTTGTAACAGTCACGATCTCTGGTCTTGTTTCTGCAAATTCGAAAGTATTCGACAATTTTCTGCTTATTTATAATTCAGTATTTCCCTGTTTATCTAAGTGTTCGACGTCGGAACTCGTTGTTACAAGAAGCATACGTGCGCGCGTTTGAAAGGATGTATTCCACTTCGCCACTTCCCAGCGATATTGATGAGATTACGAAACGCAGTTGGCCGCGTCTCAATATAATATACATTGCTGTATTCCCTCTAACCCAACTGTATTCGCCTGCCTCTTAAGCCGTCGCCACAACGGCCCGGACAAAGGAACCGTTGGTTTGTTATCAAGAAACTTACATAAAACAGAGGCTCCGGTAAAAACCCAATGATCGCTTAAATACAGTCGCAGGAAAATCCCTGCGAATTTATTTGTTTACCCGCGAAATGTTTATTTCAGGGAACGAAATAATGCGATTGTAACAAACGAGTAAAATGAAGTAATATTTATTTGAAACGTGTAATAATTTTGGTAAATGGTTTCAATGGAAACTACAAGTCTATCGTTTCATTTGTATTCATTTCGCTATGATTTCTCTTTTTCATCAATTGATTCGTTATTGCAATAAGCTAATCGTTCTCGAAGGGTTAACTATTTTCAGGCCTCGTGGTGTCTCTTTTAAATTAATAATTTGGTTACCGTACTTATTATCTTGAAGGAGACTTCATGGTGAAACGAGGCTTTTCATGGCTGTAGAACATTAGAGTAAATTGTTCTATTTCAATTGTTTTTTACGTGGAAAGGGATGTTCAACATAAATTTAATGCTTGTGTCGCGCAGTAGCTCGCAGGAGAAGGAAAGAAGGTCGACCACGAAGACAAAGGACTACGTTCAGCAGCGAACAAACCCTGAGGCTGGAGGTGGAGTATCGCAGGGGAGAATATATTTCCAGGAGAAGAAGATTCGAGCTTGCCACATCACTGCGCCTTACGGAGACGCAGATCAAAATCTGGTTCCAAAACCGACGGGCCAAGGACAAGAGAATTGAAAAGGCACAACTCGATCAACACTATCGGTAATTACGAAGCTGCTATTTCTGCGTCCGCTTGACCAATCGTCGAACAGTTTACGCGATACGAGGGAAAATCGCGTGTGAAAAAGATCTTTAAAATATATTTTATTATATATATCTACTTAAAATCTCTCCATTCCAATGGACATTTTAGAAAAGAAAATTAACAGGGGATAATGGGTTCCAAAATGATAAAATCATAATCACATTAGCACAATTTCCCTTTCAGTTCATTGAACGATGATTTTGAGATAATATATTCAGTTATTTCTTTGATCAGGGTAGTTTTCAATGTTGACTTTACTTATTCTGTATTCCGTATACAACAGTTATAATTATAACTTTGAAATTGATAAATTATATGTAAATATAGGTGGAGCAATTCTGGCGCAACTTTAGATGGATACCTTTGAAATGACTGCGGTGATTTATTTTACTGAGGCGATACATTTAACAGTATAAGTTATGTTGGTAATTTCCATTTGTTCGTTGCGTGTCCTCTGAAATAATCAATAACAAGTAATAAATAGTAAATAACAAAGAAGGCTCGACTTTCTGGATTGACGAACAGCGGTTGAACGCATTATTATATTCTTGTTTGCATTGTAAGAAACGTTGAAGCTCGGAAGCTGCCCCTTCTCGGTGGCCGTGGCGTAATCGCGTGAGAAAGGTACATGTGGCCGATTTAAAATTGTCAGGAACGATTTGGAGGACCGTCCCTAAATAACCGACACCCTTGTTGGCTTTATGCATGTTTCCGGGACGCCTCGGTAAATTCGAATGACGAATAATGGGGTAAGACTCTCGATAAGCGACGTTTGCGAATCATCGAGACGGATGGGCTAGAAAATAGGTTGACAATAACTCGCGAGGGTGAGTACCGATGCGATGCACCATTAAACGGTCTTATCTAAACGGGATTACGGTGAAATTTCATAGAGCGTATTTTAAGTATCCTCGCGACGATCTTCTTGTGATTTTTTTGCAACTGGGGGCAACTTTTGATTGAAGGCAACTTTTGATTGAAGGCAACTTTTGATTGCCCTCGATTACCTTTCAACGACGAGGATTCTAGAGAAATTGATTTATTTCATTAACCGTTCCACCGAGTTCCACCGATTTCCGTGAGAACCCGCTCGAGAAATACCAAGCTAGAAACTGAACTACGCTTTTCTATTTTGACAAAAACAAATTTGAAATAGCGCGATCGTTAGATTTGTTCAGTTCTAAACGGGTGGTAACGCAAATGAAAATGAATCATTAGAAGGAAAAGAAATAAATAAGCTTCATTCGATTCTGTGAACCGATAGACTGGCACTTTTAGGCGGTGGAACGGAGAACCGCCATTGCGCCGCTTGGGACTCGAACGGTTAAGGACGCGTCGCACTTTCTTGTTTTCGTATTCTTTCCTTTCGTTTGTTTAATATTATACAGAAGTCGGTACTTGTACTTACGTGACTTTTAAGATACGTGCCATGCCTCGCTTAAACCTTTCTCGAAAATTTTTAAAATATTTATCATAATATTTTTGCTGTATTGTTCACGTGCGTAAGTATCGTGAAATATATGAAGTGATACATCAAATTTCGAATTGCCCCCGTGTGGGGCGACGACCCCACGTTGGGAAACCTGATCTACAGGAACCGAAGAATTAGCATGCCACTAATTAACGCGTCAGATTGCAATTAACCGAACACGTGAAACAGACACGTAGATCTGAAAGCGTTGCATTGCCATTTTTGTTGCAGGAACATCGCAGTTTCCAATGGAATGGTAAACGTACCGATTTACGGTAGAACCGGATTCTGCGAGTTTTGCTTGTACAAAGAGACATTTAGATCGGCGATCAATCATTCCTGCGCTTCTACGGATCCCGTTGGTGGAACTTCAACGAAGCAAGCACAGTGCAACAGCGTTGCGAGCGAAATATCGGATAACACGACGAACACGTTGTCGTCGATTTGAAGTTTCCGACCGCTCGGACTGCGGACGTTCGTGCAGATTTATATTTTCATCGACTGTTTCACGGAAACGAATGGAATCTATGGACGATTTTTATTTTTTATTTTAGAACATTCTACGGATTAACACGTGCCACGAACGCATGAAGTCTAGTCTGTTAGCGAGTACGATGATCCTGTTGAATATACAGCGGACTGTCCCACGCAAGTGGAACGAGCTGTATCTATCGAACGGTGAAAAAATATTGTGTATTAAACAGAAATCAATTATATTGGACGATGCGTAATCTGGGAATCAGCATTGTTACGCATTGCTATCATTGAACAGTGAATTTGAAATTGGTTGTCAATGGAATTCTATCGTTTCGACGGTGTGATTTTGCAATTTTTATTAAAAATATTAACTAGATTCAGGACAAGAGTGCGTTGATCATTTTTGTAGGGATTTCAAAAGTGCGTAGTACTGTCGAATTTATAGAGATATGATTTATATAATTATATAATGTATAATATATTATATTATATATTTATATAATTTATATAATTATAGAATTTATAGCAATGCATAAAAATGCACAAACTTATTCACGGATACTTTTATACAATTTTATTTCATTTTGTAACATTTCGTCTTACCTCCAATTGTTTGGAAGATACAGCTTGTCAGATTTATAGGAAATAAATTAACAATATATGTATGTGATTTTGTAGTGCTGTATAATAATGATTTATACCACTGACGAGTATATTGTCGCGGACGTTGTTTTCTCTGGTTTGTGATGAACTTGATATTTTTATTAAAATACAGTTCTGTATCGGATAAGACGAGCAACAGGAAGTGTGTCCCACATGAAATATGATCCACAATACCTAATTCGCATACGTAATAGTAAAGTATAATGAAATTGTTAAAACTTTTTAATAATAAACATAAAAAGATAATAAAAACATGTAAACGCTTCGTTTTTATGGTTTTCATGTACGTAACACACACTGGGAGAAAAAGGAACTCATATTTCACGATATTTTCTTACAAATAATATTTCTAACATTATATTGCGTTCACATTTATTTAGAATCTGGAATACTTCATAATTTATTTTCTACGAAATATATACAATATGAAAATGTAAAACATACGATGCACTTCATTTTAATTTAACTGCTACAATCATGGAGATAATTAATTTTTTCTAATATTTTCTATTGTTAAACATTTTGCATTTTCATTTGTTGCTCTTTACAGTTCGAGTTCATTAACGTTCGACGAATGTATTTTTCACCCTATACAAGTAATATTCAACTGGAGTAATTAAGAGGAGGGAGTAGTTAAAGGGAAGAGGTGTGAACAATTAATTAAACTCGTTACACATTTAAGAAATTTATTCTGATCTTTGGAAAACTGACGAGAGTTATTACACAGCTGAAAATGAACTGAAATAATTAATTTTTATAAAATTACAATTTCTAATTATGTACATGTTGCCTATAGTATAGAAGTCAATTAGGGTTGAATTGCATAAATCAATGTGTCCTGCAAACGTTGCAGTTTCATTTACTGCACAAATGTGTATACACGATGGAAAACATAATTTGATTATCACGAGTAACTCTGTTATTTTCAGTGACAGAAAAAATGGCAAAGGAAGAACATGCTTCATTGCAAAGGTTGAACATTATGAATAACTTTTCCAAGGTCATACCGAACAATATTGATATTTTTGAATTCTGTTATCAAAGGTTAAGTAAATGACACATTTTATTTATAGAAAAAACATTGGTAACTTTGAAATCTGGGAAAATATGATTTTGAAAAACATGTTTACTCTTCATAATATTCATCCCTTCGAAACAAACTATTCTTCTTTTGATTGTTATTCTATCGTTAAAAATAACCGAGACACAAGGTGATCAAGTTATGTCGTTCACCTTGTACATGCTTTTCTATAGACTTTCAAATATCAGTGAGTAGGAATACTCCGACTTGATTTTACAGGTTGGTCAGTATCAATTGGAAACAGAAATATGACAGAACTACCCTGTTTCTACTTTGTCCTTGCAACAGATTATTGGTTTTCAAATATCTGAGTCTTTAAATATTTCCATCTTGTGACGTTACATACTTCTGTTACTTAGAAATAAAAATTTGTCAAATTTGTATCCTACGTTATTGTAATATATAAAGTATCTCTGCAAATAATAACTTGTTTAAGCTTTAACCAAGAGTAAATTGAATTGCACTTGTTGTCGATTAAAAACTGAAACATGCTTATCATCTATCGAATTAATATCAAAACTTTGTAAAAGAGATTCCTTTGGTGAAGAAAGTTTATAGTTTCTCGATTTTGTTGCAACCAGAGTTACATAATTTTTAACCAATACGTTTATTACCGTGTTTGAATTGATCAAGATTTGCAATTATTTGATTGAATTTATCAGAAAAATTACTTGCGAACTTTCAGAAACGTGGATTATAGACTCGTGGAAGAATATGAAAAATATTGATGTTAAACGTTCTAAAGGAATGATGAAAATAAATTAATTTACTTGAACTTACCTCCCACGGTGAATAACTGATAATGGCAGTTGCGACTCGGAGCGCTCTGGGAGTACCAGCCCAAATGGAAAAACCAGAAATTAATAAAAACGAAAGATAGCAATTAATACATGTGATGTAAAACAAAAATAATTACTATCTCTTTCTTATACAATTATATTTTACACTTAAGCCAGAATTGATCTTTATCATTGCTGATATTGTTACTTAAATTTTTGCACATTTTCAATATATATACATATATGTATATATGTGTATATATATATATATATTTTTTTAGGCTGCTGAAATTTTGTCATTATAAAGGCATAAAATAATATACTTTCATTTCCAGCCCCAGCAATGCACGAATCATACATGAAAATATACAAATCCATTAAAAACAAGAAGTGCTAAGTACAATCTCCAGACCCAAAGGATTTAATCTACTAATAATTTGTTAATCGATATTAATAATGGAGATCGTTTAATGGATAAAATAAAATAACAAATGAGAATTTAAGGCATTTGTACTCCGGCACAAAGAGATGTATTAATTTAAACTTTCATTATTTCATTAATTGCTTTCGTGTAAATGGAAACCATTTTACTTTCCAGTTAATGGTACTGTTCGTAAACTCCAGTGTATATACATACAATTTTGCTTTGACATAGACAACAATTTCATGTTCCCTTTTAGCGTGTAACTAATTTGTCGAGAACAAAGTATCATTTTGAATTTCTAACTCGGATTAATTCAATCAAATTGCACAAATTTTATCGTCTCCTACTGCATATTACTGGTGTATTGAAAACAAAATAATGTCTTATAGAACATATTAATTCACAAGACAAGACAAAGCTTACTGATAGTACATTGTTGGTAATTTACTTTAACCCTTTTGCTACTAAGAGTGACTAAAACTGTCTAGATCATAACGATTTCAATGAAAGAGAAACAGAATATAGGCTTGATGTGAATTCTTCAGTACCAAGGCTAAATAAATAAAATACATTACACATTATAATATTATGTTTTCTCATGGATGAGGATCTCTCTTTATCAGGCTCTGTTATAGAAAAAGGGTTAACTGAGATGTAACAATATAATTTACTTTCATTTTGACTGTTTTTAATAAAAGAAAATAATTGTTAAGTTAACAGCAGAATTTAGCGGAAATATTATAAAACATCGTATCATGCACACTTTGCCATTCATTGCCCTATATCTAAACAAATGAATCTAATGTTCCTACCTGTGGTTGTACAACAGAGGCTAGCAAGAAGCCTAGCAAAGCCTAGCTTGCTGCGTAGTTCAGTATCCTTTTGCTCTGCTACCTGCCTGTCTTTAGTTTCTTCCTTCATAGTTCACTCTTACTACTAATAACCAATGCTATTTGCTCTGTCCAGTTAATCTAAATAGGCTATCTTTAGATATTGATAATAACCTGTGCTCATAAGGAAAATCTTACCTACCTAAGTAATCCTTTGCCTCTTAAATTTACTACCTAACAGGTCAGAAATAAAGCATAAGTCACGAATAAGCTAAAAAAAAACACACTGATATGAAAAATAAAAGAAACGAATTTCGAATTAAACAGATGTGTAACAAAACTGAAACTAATCTTACTCTGGTCTCATTTAGAGTAAAATCTGTATTTTTAATCAGTGCTGTACTATTTTTAAGGAAACATTGCACACAGAGAAAGTTTATACTTATGCCTGATAAACTTAATATTTGTGTGATGTTATAACAGTTAGTAGTGCTGAGCAATAAAAGTAAACGGTTATTACATGTTCGGTTCTTTTGTCTTTGTTAGAAGATGCTAATAATACCCACAAATGAAGCAAACTCTCGACAACCACTCGGTGTTCACTAAAATTGGATTCACTTAAAATGAGTATTAAAGGAAAAAAAGAACGTTAAAGTACGCAGTTCGAATATTGATTTGATACAGCGATTAAAAATTGCGCACAGAAAAGATAAAGAAGTTATTAATATGTTCCAGTCGGTGTTGTAGAATAGGTGTGATATGAATATGTAGATACAATAAAGATTGCGTAGAATTCTGTAAACTGATCACTGTCGTTTTGCACAACACTGATTAATGATTTACTTTTAAATAATGGATTTAATTAAAAGGGATACGAAGAAGAAATTAGATAAATTGAAAAGCATTTATAGTAGGTAGTTCACTATAATATTAGAAAACAATAAATATATTAACATAATTTGAATGATTAATTACTAAATATAATATAAAATAATATTAATTACAAAAAAAATTAGTTTTTAACATAAAGTCATTTTATTTCATTGCAAGTTACTTTTTTCCTTACTATTTTGA